TGGTATATCAAAAAGTGTATATTTTTTAAATGTGATAGTTGGTACATTTTACCAGTTTTTACCATACTTTCAAAACAAAAATTCAAATAGGAAAAATATGCAATATGAAAATAATTGAAGACAAAATGTGTTTTACTGAGAAAAAACAAGATTTGGTTTTTAAAAAGCCTTTTTCCAAAAGGTACATCTGGAAAAAGGGGGGTTGTCTTATAATCAGGGTCGTCTTATATTCGGGCCAATACGGTAGTATTATCACACTTTATTATTATCTTATGAGAACCAGGCTGAAAAAATTATGTGCACCCCTGCTAATAGTGTAATCTATTAAATATGCATAAAAACCTGTCTTTTTACTTAAGTAGCAGATATGGGTGTCATGCCATAAAATACTTTTAAATACGACTGACTTTGTATTTAATGTTAATTTAATAAAAACATTGTAATTTACTAATTATAACACTTTCACTATACAGAAAGAGAGCAAATAACATTTTAAGCACACTTAAAATCACTGAAGCAAAAGAAATGCACCAAATACAAAATAGAAATAAACCCATTAAAATACAAGAACAAAATGTAAAATATAGATAGATAAAATATAAAATATAAAGCAAAGGTATTAAAAAAGAAGGAAAAACAAAACACATTACATTACAGGAAGGCCAGACTAAAAAAAGACGTTTTTAATTTAGACTTAAAACATTAAAATATTTTCAGCACATCCTATGTCAAGCATAACGGCTAAAAGCAGCATCACCAAATTTTTTAGTTCTACTATAAGGTACAGTTAGAAGAAAAGAATCTGAAGACCTGAGAGTCCTTCTGGGTTCATATACTATAAGCATTTTGGAAAGATAGTCTGGAGCAAGTCCGTGCAATGCCTTATAAACTAATAAACTATTTTTAAAATCAATACGAATGCTAACAGGTAACTAGTGTAATGACTTTAATACAAGTGCAATGCGATCTCTCTTTTTGGCCTTTGTCAATATTCTAGCAGCAGTATTTTGTATTAGTTGTAGTCGATTAATTGTATTCTTTGGTAGACCTGAAAGGAGGGCATTACAATAGTCATAAATGCATGCATTAATTGTTCTGTATTGCTCAGAGAGAGAAATGGTCTTACTTTGGCAATGTTCTTCAGATGATAAAATGCAGTTTTTCTAATATAACGTACGTGAGCTTTAAAGTTAAAATCTGAATCAAAGACAATTCCTAAATTTTTAGCCACTTGGCTTGGATTCAGTCCTAGTATATTTAATTTAGGGGTCAATTTTTCTCTCTGCGCTTTTGATCCAATAATCAAAACTTCAGTTTTATCTTGGTTGAGTTGTGAAAAATTTTGTGACATCCAGTCCTTTATGTCTTGGATGCAATTTGCAAGTGAGTCAAGTTGAAGAGGATCATCAGGAGACACGGCTACATACAACTGTGTTATCAGCATAACAATGAAAAGAAATACCATGCCTCCTGATAATGTGACCAAAAGGTAACATCTGTGACCCTGGAGCACAAAAGCAGTCTTAAGTCGCTGGGGTATATTTGTAGCAATAGCCAACAATACATTGTATGGGTCAAAATGATCAATTTTTCTTTTATGCCAAAAATCATTAGGATATTAAGTAAAGATCATGTTCCATGAATATATTTTGTAAATTTCCTACCGTAAATATATTAAAACGTAATTTTTGATTAGTAATATGCATTGCTAAGAACTTAATTTGGACAACTTTAAAGGCGATTTTCTCTATTTAGATTTTTTTGCACCCTCAGATTCCAGATTTTAAAATAGTTGTATCTCAGCCAAATATTGTCCTATCCTAACAAACCATACATCAATGGTGTATTGATTTATTCAGCTTTCAGATTATGTATTAATCTCAATTTCAAAATATTGACCTTATGACTGGTTTTGTGGTCCAGGGTCACATATAAAGATTAAAAAGCAGTGGTCCTAAAACTGATCCCTGAGGAACCCCACATGATTGAATGCTGGTGAACCCCACCAGCATTTCAGCGATGACTCATCTGAACGCCTCTGATTGGCTGTTACATTCATAAGCTCAACAGAATAATGTGTGATTGGTTTTTAATGTGCAGCGCTGTACAAACGCGTCTGATATATTATAAATATTATTCGGCTATTTTTTGTCTTTTGGAAGCTGCATTCAAAATCCACTTGGCTCAAAAATCTGCCTGCACATGCCCCTCGGTTTGAATGGGCATGACACATTTCTGTAATGAGTTCTGTGTGTGTTTGCTCCTCAGACACGGGTGTTGATTTCGCCTCCACGATCGTCCCATGCAGTCACCTCCTCAGCGCCCCCTTCAGTACGGAGGTGCAGAAGCAGTTCTCGCGCTACTACAACGAGTTCTCAGAGCTGCAGCTGCTGGGGAAGGGAGCGTTCGGGGCTGTTATAAAGGTCAGACGTCTTCTATCTCTCTGTTTAACAGATTCATTAATAATAAACATACTACTTCTGTGCCTGTTTCCTACATCCTGCGATCATCTGTGAGATGTGAGAAACTAGACTTGGAGCTTGCGAGTCTTAAGTGACAGTATTGTGCAGCTCTAGTAAAAAAAGAGACATTTGATTTTCTGTGATATGAAAAACGACAGCAATTTTCAGCAGATGATTTGAATGGCTCTGTTTGGAAAGAATGAATCTTTATGATTATAAGGCTGAATATTATTATGATACTTATATAAAGTAAAAAAATGAGTATTTAATAATATAATTTATAATGTAATTTATAGTTTAGTAATGCATCTGCATAGAAAATAAAATTTTTTTTTGAACTGTGATATTATAAATCTTTAACATAAGGCTAAATATTATTTTTATATTACTTATATTAGAATATGCTAATTAGTATTATTATTATTATGAGAAGTATTATGTTGCTTTATATATTATATTAATATAGTAAAATTGGATAATAATATAATTTATAATTATGCAGCTGCGTAGAAAATAAAAATAATTTTGAACAGCAGTATTATAACTATTTACATATGAAGCTTATTATTATTTTGTATTCTATTAAGTACAAATATAAATTTATAAATTTAATAATTTATAATTTAGTTATGCTTCTGCATAGAAATTTTTTTAATAAAAATATTATATTACTTTAAGTATAAAATAATATTTTATAATAATTTTTAATAAATATCCTATTGACGATGTAAGTGTCGTTGCATTATAATGTTTTTGTTAGCCTGTCCAGTAGAAGCCACTAGACGCGGCGCTGCTACGTTGTTCATTAAAAATATTGCGGGAAAAGAGAACATCAATGCGGAGAAGATCTTGTTTACATCAAAACTGAAACCAAGCCGTTCACACAGAACGCATATTTCGCGCATCTATCACCGTTGCACTCGAGAACCGCATGTTTGGAAAGCCATGTAAAATTAATGCAAGTTCTTTGAACTTTCTTTGAACTTTTGTCAACTTTGAAAATGTTTAGAAAGCCATGTAAAATTAATGCAAGTTTAACTTTGAAAAAAACATATCTCGAGACTTTATGGCGGGTTTTTCCCATCCCACTGCATCTCATGTTTTTAAATGAAAAACTACTCTTTGTGATTGGCTTTCGGCCCTTTGTATTAAACTATACATACAAACATGATGCTTTTTTGTTTATAACTTAATTCATTATAATTGGTTTATAAACATTATTTTAAACATTTTTCACAGATAGTCATGTTATCTTATGCTTTGAATAAACGTTAGGGCTGCACGATTATGACAAAAATCATAATTGTCGATTATTCCCTTGAAATTGTAATTACGATTATCACAATTTACATTGAATGATGTTTATACCATTGCTTGATGCAACTGCATGCCGTATTTTTATATGAAAATAAACAAGCTGAAAACACTCTTAACTGAAAAACCTTTAGTGCTTTTCTATAGTATTAAGCCTCAAATGTCAACTATACATCGGATTGGTTTCTTCTTTAAATTATAAAAAAAGTAAAAATATGTATGGTATTATAATGTTATACTAAAACTAAAACAATGGAAAAACCCTTAAGATAGCATGTAGAAAGAAAAAAATGCATCTTAAGCGTGCAGAATAACATAAGTGGACTCTGAACGATTAATTGCCGCTTTGAACGATTACGTAATTGTGGCATCCGTAATTGTAATCGCGATTAGAAATTCGATTAATTGTGCAATCGTAATAAACGTGCATTAGTAATATTCTGCTCGATGCGCCCTCTTGTGGCCTCAGGAGAGAAGCCAAAAGCTTTTCTTCACCCTAACTGAAATTATGCATTATGAATTTGAATAAGTTTTTTTTCAGCAATTTTGACAGCCCTAGCTCATAGTTCTCTGTCCTGCTCCTCTAGTTCTTCATGTGTCTGTGTTTGTCCCGTTCAGGTTCAGAATAAGCTGGATGGCTGTTATTACGCGGTCAAGCGGATCCAGGTGAACCCGGCTAGCAAACAGTTCCGGCGGATCAAAGGCGAGGTGACGCTGCTGTCACGACTCAACCACGAGAACATCGTGCGTTATTATAACGCCTGGATCGAGCGGCATGAGACGCCGGCGACCGGAGCCGTATCCAGCGACAGCTCCGAGACCGTCAGCAGCCCCGAGCGACCGCAGCGACCCACGGCTCCGGAGCGAAACGAGCTGGGACTGATGGACAACATCGAGGACGACGCTCCTCCGCCGGCCCTCGCCAGCTCAGTGGAGTGGAGCACGTCTCTGGAGAGATCGTCCAGCGCTAAATGCAGCGCTGCAGACTCCACCGACGACGAGGAGGATGATGATGAAGAGGAGGATGTCTTCTGTCCCTCCTTCCTGTGAGCTTCTGCTGTCGAGACGCTGTCTGTGATGATGATGAAGTGTGCATCTCTGACCTGCTTCTGTGTTTCCACACAGCCCTCCTGACAGCGACTCGGAGAGCGACATCATCTTCGACAACGGAGACGCCAGTGTGCTGCAGGTCTGCAGTTCTTAAATTACATATTATTAAGTAAAACAAAATCTCTGTCCCACTTTATATTAATTATGTCTTAAGTGTCAATTTTTCATCATCTTTCCATTGATGTATGGTTTGTTAGGATAGGACAATATTTGGCCGAGATACAACTATTTGAAAATCTGGAATCTGAGAATCTAAATATCTGGAATCCCTAAATTATGTTTAGGGAAAAAAACGCTCAGTTTTATTCAGAGACAAAAATATGAATTTGCTGCAGATGCTATGATGAAATTCTGATGCTTGTAATGCACATCAATGAGATCTTTATAACAGTGCAGCAGATACTGAAATAAAATGATCTAAATATCAGTCATCGCTCTATATCTCCAGTAATCTGTCTCAGTAAGATGAGATTGAAATGCTCCAAACATATAATGCAGTGATTGAGAGCTGAAGAAATAAAGGCTCCTCAGAAGATGTGAGATGTTCTGGAGGCTTGTGAAGATCATTCCTCCGCTGAGGAACAGTGAAAGTAAAGCTTCTGGAAACAAACGCTCCTCAAAAGATTTGAGACGCACTGATTTATCTTGATTTTTCATCTGGAACTATGACTAATGAAACCGCTGTTATTAGATGTAGTTTCTAAATCACATAAGTATGGGATGATATTGCCTTGTGAACAGCAGAGTTCATGTTGTTTCTCTGCAGGAGAAAGCAGCAGATCCGCTGGAGAGCTCCGACTCGGAGAAGCCGCTGCTGATCGCGCATTACCTGTACATACAGGTGCGTTCATGAACACTGAGGCTCAGTGCGAGGCTGTGTTGCAGCTCAATGGTGTTTAAGTGTCTCTTCTGTCTGTTCAGATGGAATACTGTGAAAAAAGCACTTTGAGAGACACGATCGATCAGGGCTTGTATCAAGACGTCAGTCGCCTCTGGAGGCTCTTCAGGGAGATTCTGGACGGTCTGTCCTACATCCACGAGCAGGTGAACTGACTCTGGAAAACATGTGGAAAATTAAAGCACTTCAAGCTATTTTTAAATTTTAGATGTTTGAAATTTTTTATTATTAAATTAAATTTATTTATTGTTATTATTATTTATTCCAAACATCTCTGATGCCTTTTTAGTTTTCACATTTTAAAATTTTAAATGTTTGGAATTTTTTTTATTATTTATTTCAAAGATCTCGGATGCCTTTTTAAATTTTTTACATTTTTAAATTTGAAATATTTGAAATGTTTAATTTTTAAATTTATTTATTTATTCCAAGCATCTCTGATGCCCTTTTTTATTTTTTACATTTTTAAATTTAAAATGTTTGAAAATTTTACATTTTTTAATTAAATGTTTACATTTTTTTATTTATTTATTCCAAACATATCTGATGCCCTTTTTTATTTTTTACATTTTTAAATTTGAAATATTTGAAATGTTTAATTTTTAAATTTATTTATTTATTCCAAACATATCTGATGCCCTTTTTTATTTTTTACATTTTTAAATTTGAAATATTTGAAATGTTTAATTTTTAAATTTATTTATTTATTCCAAACATATCTGATGCCCTTTTTTATTTTTTACATTTTTAAATTTGAAGTATTTGAAATGTTTAATTTTTTAATAATTTTTTTTTTTATTATTATTTATTTCAAAGATCTCGGATGCCTTTTTTTATTTTTTACATTTTTAAATTTGAAATATGTGAAATGTTTAATTGTTAAATTAATTAATTAATTTTTATTTATTCCAAACATCTCTGATGCCAGTTTTATTTTTTTACATTTTTACATTTAAAATGTTTGAAATTTTGACATTATAAGTTAAATTATTTTTTTCTGTTTATTCCAAAAATCTGATACTCTATTTATTTATTTTTTTTTAATGTAAAGGTTTGAATATTTTTATTAGTTAGTCCAAATATCTTTCATACCTTTTACATTTTTTTTTTTTTTTTTTTAATTATGATTTTTTAAAAATGTATTTATTTTTAGCCTTTGTTCCTTTCTTCTTCACTTAATTTTGAATCGAAAGGGCTGCATAAATAAAAAGTTATCAGCTTATGAGAAATGACTGTGGTATAATGTCTCTCTTAACAGGGAATGATCCACAGAGACCTGAAGCCTGTCAATATCTTCCTGGATTCTCAGGATCACGTGAAGATCGGAGACTTCGGCCTGGCGACGGATCATCCTGCTAATGTGGTACTGCATGTGCTTTATGCATGCTTTATGCACATGAGAGCATTGCATGCATGTGTTGATAAATAACTGTATGTGTGCCGTAGATTGACACATAGAAGCAGTTTTGATCCTTTATATGAGCACTGGACAAATGCATGCTCAGAAAATGCATTATTCATGAAATTAATGAGAATTATCTCTGATTGGCAGACTTAACTTGTCTATTTCGTAATGCTGTTTGGTAATTTGGTTTAATATGCCGTGTTTCAGGCTGCAGGTAAACTAGAGGTGGAGGAAAGCAACTCAGGGTTTGACCCAAAACCAGATCCAACAGGTGAAAACCCTGATCAGTTACTCTGACCAGATGTTTTTCTCTCTCATGTTAGCAATAGTAAAGCATAGGCATGTCAAAATAAGAGTCCCAGTGTATTTCGGGCTTGTTTATAATTAAAAGTCCTGCATTATGCATAACGTTTTTTGTTTTTTATTTATTTATTTCCCCCCCCCAGTTGTTATTGGTATTTTGGTTACACAATAAGCTAAAAAAAACATTTTTCTTTTTTTGCTGTGCTCATATTTGTTTGTTTTTTAAACTTTATTTCACAGATAACATTACTGGTATGGTTGGTACGGCTCTTTATGTCGGTCCAGAGGTTCAAGGAAACACTAAAGCCACTTATAACCAGGTATTAAACAACCTTCATCCAGACTGCTGTTTTACTCACTTTCTGTGTATAATGATGGTGTTTGTGTGTTTCAGTGTTATTTTTGTATCATTTTCTGTTTTCATTTTAGTTTGTTACAATTTTAGTTGTGTATTTTGTCATTTTTATTACTTTTTTTAAATAAATGTGACCCTGGACCACAAAACCAGTCATAAGTGTCAATTTTTCGACATTGAGATTTATACATCATCTGAAAGCTGAATGTGGGGTTCCTCAGGGATCGATTTTTGGACCACTGCTTTTTAATCTTTATATGTGACCCTAGACCACAAAACCAGTCATAAGGGTCAATTTGAAATTGAGATTTATACATATATTTATTATAAATAAATAATCTTTCCATTGATGTATGGTTTGTTAGGATAGGGCAATATTTGGCCAAGATACAACTATTTGAAAATCTGGAATCTGAGGGCGCAAAAAAATCGAAATATTGAGAAAATCATCTTTAAAGTTGTCCAAATTAAGTTCTTAGCAATGCATATTACAAATCAAAAATTAAGTTTTGATATATTTACGGTAGGAAATTTTCAAAATATCTTCATGGAACATGATATTTAATTAATATTCTAATGATTTTTGGCATAAAAGAAAAATCTATAATTTACATGCAATGTATTTTTGGCAATTGGCCGATATGGCTAGGAACTATACTCTCATTCTGGCGTAATAATCGCCAGAGCAAATAAAGTGCTTTTATTTTTATCCGTCGGTCTTAGTACACGATGTAACTACAGAAGAGTCAAGTTTTAAACAGGAAAAATATCGAAACTCTTTGGTCATTTTTGAGCGAGATGCTAACGGTCTAATCAGATTCAATGATCTATGCTAAGTTACAGCTAAAAGTGCTACCGCCAGACCCGGAGATCGGCTGAATGGATTCGAAAACGGTAAAACTCAACTGTTTAACTCTAGGGGAGCTGGAAAATGAGCCTATTTTCAAAAATAGTGGAGTGTTCCTTTAAGACTGGTTTTGTGCTACAGGGTCACACGTCTATGTAGTTTTTAATTTATTTTTTATTGGTTTTAGTTTGAATTATTTTAGAACATCAAGTTTAAATGAAAGAGAGAAATGTTGCCTTGGCAACTAGCTGAAATAGAATGTAATTTTTTTTTATATGCTATTTTATTTGTTAAATTTTATTTCAAGTAAGGAACATTTTTAAATGGTTTTAGTTTTAGTTAACCGTAATAAGCCTGGTGTCTGTGTGTCTGTAGAAGGTGGATCTGTTCAGTCTGGGCATCATCTTGTTCGAGATGTCTTACAGACCCATGAGCACAGCATCTGAACGCATCTTTGTGCTCAGTCAACTCAGGAAAGTGAGTCCCATCAAACACCAAAGCACACATCTGTTACAAACACATTCATTCAGCAAATCAGCATATTAGAATGATTTCTGAAGATCATGTGACACTGAAGACTGGAGTAATGATGCTGAAAATACAGCTTTAATCACAGAAATAAATTACAGTTTAACACATATTCACACAGAAAACAGCTGTGTTAAATTGTAAAAATATTTCACTGTTTTTACTGTATTTTTAATCAAGTAAATGCAGCCTCGGTGAGCAGAAGAGACTTCTTTCAAAAATATTGATAACATTTAAATTATTCCATACTTTTGATTGATAGTATATACGTTTTCCATGCAGTGCCACTGTGATCTAAAAAAACAAACAAATGTTCTTTTTTGCAAATGTCGTCTTATCACTTGTTCCTAACGCATCTCTATTTGTCCTGCAGGAGTCGATTAATTTCCCTGAAGACTTTAACGAGAACGAGAGTGAAATGCAGGTAAGTTTGAAACATCCATATATTAGACCCTGGACCACAAAACCACTCGTAATACATCATCTGAAAGCTGAATAAATAAGGATAGGCCTATATGTTAGGATAGGACAATATTTGGTCGAGATACAACTATTTGAAAATCTGGAATCTGAGGGTGCAAAAAAATCTAAATATTGAGAAAATCATCTTTAAAGTTGTCCAAATGAAGTTCTATAAGTTTTAATATACAGTATCTCACACCCTCACATTTTTGTACATATTATATCTTTTCATGTGACTACACTGAAGAAATGACACTTTGCTACAATGTAAAGTAGTGAGTGTACAGCTTGTATAACAGTGTAAATTTGCTGTCCCCTCAAAATAACTCAACACACAGCCATTAATGTCTAAACCGCTGGCCACAAAAGTGAGTACACCCCTAAGTGAAAATGTCCAAATTGGGCCCAAAGTGTCAATATTTTGTGTGGCCACCATTATTTTCCAGCACTGCCTTAACCCTCTTGGGCATGGAGTTCACCAGAGCTTTCTTCAGTTTTGTCACATGAAAAGATATAATAAAATATAAAAAAAATGTGAGGGGTGTACTCACTTCTGTGAGATACTGTATTTACGGTAGGAAATCTACAAAATATCTTCATGGAACATGATCTTTACTTAATATCCTAATGATTTTTGGCATAAAAGAAAAATTGATAATTGTGACCCATACAATGTATTGTTGGCTATTGCTACAAATATACCTGTGCTGCTTATGACTGCTTTTGTGCTGCAGGGTCACACGTGTGTTCTCTTTGACAGAGGAAGGTAATCAGCTGGCTGTTGACTCACGATCCGGCGCTGCGACCGACGGCGGTGGAGCTTCTGAAGAGCGATCTGCTTCCTCCGCCGCAGATGGAGGAGTCCGAGCTGCACGAGGTGCTGCAGCACACCATGGCTAATGTCAGCGGCAAAGCCTACCGCACCATGGTCAACCAGCTCTTCTCCCAGAACATCTCGCCCGTCATGGACTTCACTTACGACATCGACATTCACAAGGTAGAAGAAGAGCTCAAAACACTCTCCAGGACTCACAGAACGGATAAAATGCACATTTACATTACCAGCGATCAAGACTTTTGTACTGTGTCCTGCTGGTTTTACATTATCCAATAGAATTTGAGGGCCTACATGTCACTGCAAAAGAAAAGTCATTTAAGAGCAAATTTTAATGAATGATAGTCATGTCACAATGTATCACAATACAAAAATGCAGCAATTTGTATCATGGATGATGACCATATCTATCGTGTATAGTTCAGCCCGACATGAAAGTTTAGACTTATTTTTTAATTTGTGAAAAAGAATCGGCAAGTAGCACTTTCCTACGATCTGTTATTTTTTAATTTAATAATTAATTTTAGATTTAATTTAGGCTTTTATTCACTTATAAACAATGATCAACACATACAAAGAGCGCATCAAATACGGTACACACTTGAGCTTCCATGTTAGTTATTTTAATTAGTATTATTCATTATTATTAATAAATTAAAAATAAAATACATTATTTAATGAAGTATAAGATTTAACACTTTAAAATTTTATTTAGCAACAGAATTCTGTATTTTTAGCTAAGCAGAATACTGAATATTTCTGTTCTGGTCGATTAACTTCTTTTAGTTAATTGTTTATTGTATGCATTAGAAGTAATAATTAAAACATACCCTTTCAACTCTATTTTGACTTTGTTAAAGTATCGTATCGAAACAAATCACAACATACATAAATCATACATAAATCGAATCTTAACAAACATAAGTGCATTGTTACACCTCTAAAGATTGATTGATTGATTTCTTTAGAATAAAGTCACTGATGAATGATAAATTAACAACATTAGGAGAGGAAATGCATTAATTAAAATATCTTAAAGCTCAAAATTTCTACTTTAAATGTAAAAGTTTTAGAATATTTAAAAAAAGGTCTTCAATTTATTTAATTTCTTTCTAAATTTTTTTAATAATTTAAGTATGGTTTTCACCATGAAAATAATTCTATTTTATTTTAGCTAGTTGCCAATGCAACATTTCTCATGTTCATTTAGTTTAACTTGATGTACTAAAATAACTAAAACTAAAACTGAAATAAAAAAATTTAAAAAACTATATAGACATACTTAAAAACAAAAACGAACGAATAAATGACAAAAGCATAAATTATTAAAACTTCAACTAAAATTAAAATGAAAATGGAAAATACAAAAAATATATATATAAATATAAATGAAAACTATAATAGAATCTCAGTGAAACTAAACTATCACTGAATCAGAAATAATCTATTAGTTAATCTGTTAGTTTTTCCTTAAAACAAGCAAAAATATCTGCCAATGGGGCAAGAAAAATAATCTTGTTTAGCCTTTGAATTAAGATTATTCTTCTTACCCCACTGGCAGATATTTTTGCTTGTTTTATTTAAGCAAAATAATTTTTTACAGTGTGTCCACACCAGCAGGTGGCGCTGTGCTGTTATTTATCAGCTCCATCAGTGACTCTGTGTTTCCTGTGTTTGTCTGCAGGGCAGTTTTCATTTCAACACTGCTAAAGTCCAGCAGTACGTGTACGAGACGGTCACCAGGATCTTCAGACGACACGGTGAGACGCACAGCATTCTGGGTCGTGTTTCCGCTCTCATACTTCCTGTTCCTCTGCTTCGCCAGCCGATGCTGGAGCAGGAGTTACGATTTGCATTAAAAATGGGATGTTGGAAGACATAAAAGCAATAAAACATCTTATAAAGCGGCCTGCATTTTAAATGTAAAAATGTAAAAAAAAAAAAAAAGGCATCAGAGATGTTTGGATTAAATAAATAAATGTCAAAATTAAACATTTCAAATATTTCAAATTTTAAAATGTAAAAAATAAAAAAGGCATCAGAGATGTTTGGAATAAATAAAAATAAATAAATAAATTTAAAAATGAAACATTTCTACGGAAGAGGATTTAGGGCCAAGCAATAATAAAAAAATAAAACCATCTTGAGATTAAAGTCGTTAAATTTCGAGAAAAAAATAGTTAAATTTCAAGAAATAAGTCGAGATAAAATGTTGAGATTAAACTCATTAAATTTCGAGAATAAACTCATTGTTTCGAGAAAAAACTCGTTAAATTTCGAGAAAAAGTTTAAATGAAATGTTGAGAATAAACTCATTAAATTACGAGAAAAAAGTTGTTAAATTGCGAGAAAAAAAGTCGAGATAAAATGTTGAGGATAAACTCATTAAATTACGAGAAAAAAGTTGTTAAATTGCGAGAAAAAAAGTCGAGATAAAATGTTGAGGATAAACTCATTAAATTTCGAGAAAAAAGTCGTTAAATTGCGAGAAAAAAGTCGAGAATAAACACACTTGTATATGCAAAGAGCAGAAATGTGCATTTGTTTTTTGTCATTGAACATTTTTATTTTTAACTCATATTTCCCGCACAACATAAAATTCACAAACACAAAAATGTACACTCAGGAAAATTATAAAAATAAATCCAAATGATAATAATAACAAAACAACGATTGAAACATAAATAACAATGGTAAAATAAATATAACACAACAGACAGCCAGAAATTTGCATTTAGTGCAGTGGTGTTTATATTATAGAGCTCTCAAGGGATTAAAATTTTAATCAAATTAATTACACAATGTGGACATTGATTAATTAATCCCAAATTAATCACACATCAATTTTGGCTGAGAAATTAGCCACTAAAAGATCAAAGTCATTATTGTGTTAAATGAGAAAAGCATTGAATAGACATAGCAAAAAATTGCTTTAGAAAGAATTAATGCAAAACTAATGATAATAAATGGCTATTAATGCGTTTAAAAAACGCATAACTTTGCAACTACATGTCAACTAGCAGTCATTAGAGTATTAATAGACTGTCTGCTTAATATCTTCTAACACAAGTATATGTTAACTTATTCTACTAACCCTAAACCTAGCCTAACAGTCCACTCTGAGAATTAGTACATGTTAGTTGCGAATTAAAAAGAATTAGTTGACAAGTCACTTAATAGTTATTAGAATGTCTAAAGTGGACTATCAAAATAAAGTGTAATCAAATATTGAAATATAAAATTATTTTAAAAATCCTTCAAACGGCTGATTCATTCAGAAACGAAGCAAGGATTTTTGATTGGAACTATTTTCATTTATGACATGGATCAAAACAGACAATATTGTGTCTAAAATATAACACAATATGAACTTGTTTATTGAACTGTTGTATAAATCGATGGTGCAGATATTTGGGAAAACCGCACTCCTGCTGGTGATATTGCTGAACAATATCATAGTTTAAAGCTTAAAATAATTCATATAATGAATGATAAATTATAAAAATAAATCATATGATATAAATATATTTTTGTGCTCAAATTTTGAATTTTATGCTCATAGAATTTTATGCATTCTAATAGACTCCATCACGCAGTCAGTCGTCCTGTTTATGTATTTTATTATTTTTTATTTTATTTTAATTTAATTTTGCATTATAATCTCAGAAGTCTTTTATTAAGAGTGTTATTGTCAGGATTAATGCTGTCGCTCAGGGATTTTATTTTTTTTTTGATTGTGCAACAATGTATGGCTGTAAACATGAGAAATCTGCGCTGGAAAAGACTTTAAAACCTAATCTTGCCAAGCTACTGTTAATTTAAAGTAGTTAAACTAGCCTGTTGGGAAAAATAGTTTGCTGTGTTACAAGAAACAACACTGGTGTTATTTAAAGAAACAATATCTGTGACCCTGGAGCACAAAGCAGTCTTATATTTATAGTCTTATAAGCAGGGTATATTTGTAGCCATAGCCAACAATAGCAATTGGGTCAAAATATGGGTCAAAATTATCCATTTCTCTTTTATGCCAAAAATCATTAGGATATTAAGTAAAGATCATGTTCCATGAAGATATTTTGTAAACTTCCTACCGTAAATATATCAAAGCTTAATTTTTGATTAGTAATATGCATTGCTGAGAACTTAATTTGGACAACTTTAAAGGTGATTTTCTCAATATTTAGATTTTTTTGCACCCTCAGATTCCAGATTTTCAAGTAGTTGTATCTCAGCCAAATATTGTCCTATCATAACAAACCATACATCAATGGAAAGCTATTTATTCAGATTTCAGATGATGCATAAATCTCAATTTAAAAAAATGTACCCTTATGACTGTTTTTGTGCGCCAGGGTCACATATGTGCTTGTAGATGCAGTGAAAGATAGAAAGAGTTTAAGAAATATTATGGATTTATACGTGGATTTCATTGAGGGTGACATTATGAAACCTAAACACATTCACACACACACAAAAATAAACAAATAAAAAATAAAAATGAACAGCTGTTTTTAACTAAAATATTTGGCTGTCAATAAATGGACTGAGCGAACTGAGTGAATCAAATGAATCTGTGAATCAGTATTTTAAGACCCTTGATTCTGTATGATCCAATTTAGGAAACTGAATCATGTTAGTTATTTTGCAAAAGTAGTTAAATGCTTTGCTTTAAAGTATATACTTTTCTGGGAACACTGCTGAGTAATGAATAAAAATGAATCTGTGAATCTGTGAACTGGTTCACTGTAATCTACTTTCCAAATTAACCAGTTTGCTAAAACGAATAATGTTGTTAGTTACTCAACTACTCTGGTTAAATTTAGCAAAACTAATTAGATACTAAGCTACGCAATTTATTCTTCTGGGAACCCTATTGAGTAGTGAATCAAATGATAAATGAATATATTTTTTCATGAATAGATGCAACTCACTTTTTTGAGATCAAAATAGGTCACCCATGAGATTTGCTTAAAGTTAGTCATCTAATTTTTTCTTCTAGACTGGTTATAACTTTTTTTAATTAAGTTATGAAAAGGTAGATTGGTCTTATTTGTATTGATTTGTATTGGAAAAGTAAGACTAATTTTCTCTTGGCAGCTGCTAGTTGGTCAAACTAGTTAAGTCTTAACATGGTGGCTAGGTTTATTCAGTATTTTCTTTACTCTTTACTTCAGAAACTGTGTCTAAGGTTTGAGATCTGGGAACGGTGAAGAGAGAGGTCAAACATTTTGCGTTTTCTCCTATTTAATGGTTAAATTAAATTTTATGAATCAAAAAGCATGTCTAATTAATTACATGAGATTTGCTTAAAGTTAGTCATCTAATTTTTTCTTCTAGACTGGTTATAACTTTTTTTAATTAAGTTATGAAAAGGTAGATTGGTCTTATTTGTATTGATTTGTATTGGAAAAGTAAGACTAATTTTCTCTTGGCAGCTGCTAGTTGGTCAAACTAGTTAAGTCTTAACATGGTGGCTAAGTTTATTCAGTATTTTCTTTACTCTTTACTTCAGAAACTGTGTCTAAGGTTTGAGATCTGGGAACGGTGAAGAGAGAGGTCAAACATTTTGCGTTTTCTCCTATTTAATGGTTAAATTAAATTTTATGAATCAAAAAGCATGTCTAATTAATTAAAATCATGAAACATAAACAGTTTAACATCAATGTATTAAAAGTTTAACAAAAATGACATGTTTAGGGCCCTATGAAATGTTTTATTTTTTCCAACCTTATGTTTTATTGTTACCAAATTCTGTATTTTAACATGTCTAATTATTTGAAAGCATAAAAACAAGTTTCATTTATTATTACAATAGCCTAATGATTTTTCCTCAGAAATTCTGTGTTGTGTATTTACATTTTTAAGGCATAAAACAGTAATTGAAGTTATCTATTAATTAATGAAAATTAAACAAATTTTATTTTTTGAAAACTAAAAGGGATTTAATATTACAATTAAAACACTGAATAAATATTGTATGATTATTCCTTAAAAATAAGGTTTTAATTTTAGTAGTAGCCTATTACGTACATTCTACTGAACAATAGCAATATATTTCTGCAGCAGTGTCTTGAAGTTAAACCGAACTTTTATTTTGACGGGTTTCCGTGAATACTTTTACATTTCTGTGCGTGTATGATATGAGGATAGTTTTGCTCAAATGAAACGGTCAAATGCTGATGAAGTGACTCTCAGAGCAGTTCTGGAGATATTGTTCATGTATTTATGTCCTCATTAATGAGACGGCAGACGCTAATATCACCGCAAGCGTCACGCGCGCTTCAGTACGAGTAGTAAACAAAACCGTGCATCTGCGCCGTTCATTAACACATAGACACGCAGAATTCATATTTAAATAGGAGTTTTGCGGCTTAATATTTACAAATACTAGTGTGTGTGTGTGTGAGAGTGTGTGTGAGAGTGTGTGTGAGAGT